CAGCTGTTTTGTGAAAACTTCCTTGTTTTTTTACAAAATAAAGTAAATTGTTTATCATTTAAAATATCCATATTATCCTTTACACTCCACGTCTTCAACACAAACAAGTATAACAAGTATGACCTTAAGCATGTCGGTTGGACACTAGCTAATGAAACAACATAAAATATGTAACATGAATAAACATGTTACGTATAAAACATTTGGTCAGAACATATTGAAAATATAATAAATGTAGTCGTCAGTTGTACTTACCAATTCTGAAAAGTACATCAGAAACACGTCTGAGTCAGAACTGAATCGTCTTTATGTTCTCTCGTACATGCCCTTACTTTTCTTGCAAAGTAATGTTTTCATGGCTTTGTCAGCTTCTAATATTTCATCCGGAATATGTTAAATAGTATTCATTTTCAAACGCTTCTTATTTATTATTTCAAACATTATTCTATAAGACACTAAGGTGACCGTAAATATACGCTGCAAGGCCTACTAAAATTTGCCCAGTTCAGAACGAATATAACGTCCTCAAATACATTCCTCAAATGGTAAAGATGTAGTTGAATTTCTCAAAATTTGAATTATTCTTAAGTGGAAACGAAAAAATATTGAACGTAACATGTGTGTACGGGGGTATAATTGCACTCGTGGTATATAAGAAAACTCGCTCATGTCGTCGCTCATTTTCTTGAATATACCACTCTTGCAATTATCCTCCTCTTTATGCACTCAATTCGTTAATTACTATCATATTTAAATAATTATTAATAGATTTGACTGTCAGTGAACTTCAACTATATTACGTCCAGATTTATTTTTGACATTCTGTTGGCACTGGTATAGATGTAGTAAATTATATTAAAATGTATCAAAACAGTCATGACAAGTTCGTTAAAATATTTGCTTATTTTCATATCGAACCGCGGTTTGGTCTGCAATTATTGCTAAGCACATTTCTATTGAGATATGAATTTAATTTAAAGTTTTAATAATCATACTGAACTGTATGGCTGAAAATATATTTTTAATCAAATCTTAGTAAGTAGAAAATACAAAAAATTAATACACATTTTTTTCAAAAATCAGCTTACCCTTCATAACATGTAAAATACAATGCACATTCTACTCAGTTAACATGATGGTTTCGATACTATGGAATTTATTTCGTTTGATAAAAATCCACGATTTTTATCTTTCTCAATTTTTAAGTATCCAGAGAGTTGAATTAAAATGAGACTGATGTAGCAATCTAGAAGAGTAAAACTTTTCCGTGTGGAAATTTTAGAGGGAAAACATGGAGCCTTTTTTGAAAAAAACTTTCGTTTTGAAGCTCATTTACTTTTAACGACTTAAGAGATTGAAAAAATTCTTTAAGAGATCATTTGAAGCTTTTGAGGCAGAAATGCATTTAATCCCGAAATGCGTAATATGATTAAATTTCAAGAAATCAAATCTTTTAATCAAAATGGCGCAAATGTTATGCAAGTTAGTACATTGTGGCAATTTAGGGCTATCTGTCGGTTCAACCAAAAAATGAGAGACAAATTGAGTTTTTTTAGTTGACACGATTGATTCGAAATTACTCAAAATCGCTAATATTTTTTAAAATCTGAATCTTAAAAATGGATATGGCAAAGATAATAGGTGCCAATCAAAAACGTAGTATACGTTTCAATGAAAACATTTTTTAAAATATTAATAAATAGCAAAGAAAATGTTCATTTTTATGTCTTTGCCCGCTTAAGATTTGGCAAGTGGTTTGTGAAAAAATTGATTACATGACGAGAATGTTGTATAAACAATATGTTTATTTTGAAGAGATCATATTATAATCGGCAGTCATTGAAGAACAAATTTCAGAAATTATTTTTAGCGAAGATAGTTGTTCATGTTGTGGAGTATTGAAAAATAATATAGTAAAATAATATAGATTTGTCATCTTAGTATATTACTAAATACATATAATAATTGCATTTCGAATGCATTAGTTGGAATCGTTTAATAACTGAAATTGTTTCGTGTTGTTCTTGGTAGCAAAAGAAAATATTGCAATGCGTCTTCTACCTACGTCAGCATTTAAATTTCCTAAAGAGAAATCGCAAGGGGACAAGTGTTTGAAAAAGTTGTGGGAACAACGCTAACGGCTCACAACGAATAGTGAAGCTATATTTTGCGTTCATAATTTTAAATCGGTCGAAGTTAAAATTTTCTTATTAGTGAAGGTATTTTTCTTCTTTTTAATTGTCGATGTCTGTGCGTCACAAAATAACAAAATTTTTGAACAACGACAATCACATGATATTGACCCTCTGACCGAGTTATCCAGAAAAGCTCGATAATAAAATTATATTCTGAAGAACTTAACAGGAAACTTTTCAAAAGTACCAAGAGAATTAGATTAAGTCGTATGAAGAACATACAGTAGCCAATTTTGAATATTATGTGTCAAAATATAAAACGTTAACTTGTAAACCCCTGTACTTTTATGTTTGTTATGAAAGAAAACAATGTTTGTCTATTAAATATAAGATATTGCCTACACTTCCATTCATATACATCGCTTTTAAAATTAACGATAAGACAAATGTGCGATTTCTAATAAGCTACGCCTCTCTTTAAAAAAATATTTCATAGATTTCTAAGTGGCAGATACGAAAAGGAAATGATGATGCAAACGTGACAATTTGGGTAATCACCTAATTTTCTTATTGTAAACTCTTCTAAAATATAGTTCTTAAAAAATGGTCAGGTATTTTGTGACGAACAGTTTTCGTGTAATTTGTGTCTGAAGGAATGGAAGTTTTTGTTGCAAAAATGCTCGCTGGACCTTCACACAATCCTGCCCAAAGGTCGGCGAGCCAGATGCCCAACTGGTGGGTTACCGGATTGTACCGGCAACCAGAAGTTTGAAGATCGCCTTCTCACTGCCTCCATCTTGAAGCTACGACATGAGTGCCGTGAAACTGCACGAGAGTTCGAGTGGTCGTCTACAACTCTCCATCAGAGACTGTGCCCACCTACGCAGACACGATCCCCACCCCCTGCGGGGATCGAGCAGTGCTGGCGATCATGTGACATCTAGCGGCACGACCGAGAAAGACGTGAAATACCGTAAAGACAACTCCTCGCACACCAAGAAATAAAAACCCAAGTATAACTTCCAGAGGAAAGGAATTCAATCCGAAACTCTTTGAACCGCTTTTAACAGCACCATCTCCAGGCCTGCCAACCAAGTAGCAGTGCATATTGTCATAATTTCTCGGAATCCGATGTACGCGCGATCCCCATGCGAATTTCACTACGCACAAGAATTACAAGCTGTAAGGACAACGCTTTCCTTTCGTCTAAAGATAACACTGACCATTTCTTCAATACTCAATGATCCTCACGCCAAGGTGCTAACCGTCTTCATTATCAGTCGTTTTCAGAAACTTCTCTTGTCAAAGGATTAGAAAGATGTTCAGCAGTTTCTAATATCTCCAAAAGCCTTCCCAAAAAATTCAAGCCATATTGCGTTGCATCAACAGTTAGTAACATTTGAATATATACATTTTCGCTCCCGAGTTTTAGAAAATTGTTTGTATTGGTAAACCAACTTCAGAATCGAGCTGTTAGTATCTATAAGAAAATAGAAACCCATACTCCCAACCCTACTCCTACCACAACTAGCAAAAAGAGATCTCAACATGCGCATAGTGAAGATACATAAGACAGACAAATAAGTTACTTGATAAGATTTACATAAATAATTACGACTATCAAACGTAACAAAACACACTTGATCCATTTTTTCCAAACTTCTATATTTATTTTGCCACTCCTCTAATAACATACGAGCCCAAGTATACATCCGTTGTTTGGAGAATTCTAGCGGCAGGTTGCTAGGATCGGTGGCTCCTCTGATCAATGATAAGCGACTGCCGGAGTAGTGTCCTAACGAACGGGTCACGGAGAGCGCATGGTCTTCATGATTGGCACACGACACAAGCTGCTCATATTACCCGTCTTCTGCCCGAAAAAGACGCAAGTCTTTCCCAGCGCCATAAACGATAACAATGTGAACTAGCATAAAAAATTACAGCTTTCAGTAGGTGTAATACCAAAGTGAAATGAAGTAGGTGTACCAAATTGCTTGTTTGAGTAGTTCCTCGCTTTTTTATGCGGGCGCTGTACTCGGGTGTTTATGATGCCACACGTGTGTAATATTTAGGTATTTAAATGCAAATTCTGCAAACAAATAACTTAGAATTAAAATATTCTTT